AATAGATTTCATACTTTTATTTAATTTCAACAATTGAAAGTAACAAAATAAATAATTAAAATTTTGTATAAATATAATATATATAATTTAATATGTAAATAAATCCCTTCTATAAATAGGTTTATATAAATATACAGGCATATTATAAAGTCTAGATTATACAACATGAACCATCGAATAGGATACACATCTTGAACGCTGGAGGGGACCCTTTCAATCTAAACGCCAAAACACATACGAGAAGTATAGAACAAGTTGTGCTGAGTTGCGTGTGGGGACTGGTAGCTAGCTATTACTTCACTCTCTCAGGCATTTCACCTAATACTTGCTCTTGGTATGAATGCTCGGCCTTCTTTTTCCTTTTCATGAACAGATTGTACAATAAATTCATCTATGAGAGTAACTGCTGTTGATATATAGGAACAGAATTAATTCTGCTGCATGTGAATGTTGAATGTCATTGGTTGGAGTTGAATGCTATGCTTTCGTCGTGTAGGGCCAGATTAGGAACCGACTATTTTAGTTAATTAAAGCTATGGCTGGTCTTTGAATCTTTTTTCCTCTTTGGTTATGATTAAGATATGTAATCCTCTTAATTTTTTTTACCTAATTTTGATTTTATGACATGAATTTAGAACATATAAAAAAAGGGAGTTGTAATTTAAACTGTACCAAAAAATTAAATTATTAGATAATTAAGATCTTTAATAATTAGATGAAGGCTTTTTTATTTAATAATAATTATTTTATAATTCAATACATTTTAAATTGTAAAATACCCAACTCATAACTTATATTTCTGTTTGATCCAATTGCAACATTTTTAAAAGCTTATATTCAATAATTAATTGTCCTATAAAACACTTTTTTCTTAATTATATATTGATTGGTGCTGGGAAACTACGAGTTTGTTACTTTATACTTTATAATCATTTGCAACATTGAATACAACTTCTATAAAAACTACACTTTGCTGGCTTCAACTTTTGCAATAAAAATGATTTTATCTCAATTTATATTTGAGTAGTAATAGGTAACAAATAAAAGGAAAATTTAAGACTAATAATATAATATAAGTTATGTTATTAAATAAATTAATACATATAATATTACAAGTCTTAATAAAATAAAAATAATTAATTATTAAATAATATAAATTATATATTTTAATATTTTAAATGATGTGAGTTCTATCATATCATTAATCTTAAAATTTTGGTCATATTTATCATTTTTCTTTACATTTATTCGGTGTGTTGTGAGTAGGTTTATGGTTTGAATTATAAAGGTGTGGCGCCTGATGGAGCTCAAAATTATTAATGTCTATAAATAAGTGGTAGTGACATGCATATTATAGAATTTATTACATGACATCTCGTATCAACAAAGTTTCAAGTACGCAGATTTCAATTCTCCATATTATATTTTCACACCATCAATTATTTTAGTATCCTAGATTCTTGTACTAGACCTAATTATTTTTCTATGAAGGTTGAAGAAAGCTAATATGATCCTATTAAGGTTTCATTTGATAACATTTCTTGATATTTTAGTTTTTGGGTTTTTATATTATTTTATTATTTTAAAAATATATAAGATATTGATTAAAATAAATATATTTTATATTTTATATTTTTTTGAGATATTAAAAGATAAGAAA